TTTCTTTCTTTCTGTGGAACACAAAAGAATATGAAAATTCAATGAAAGTTAATGGGGTCTCTTGTTGTTTTGGACCCCACTGACTTTTCATTGTATAGGCAAAAACAGCTGAAACATTCTTCAAAATATCTGTTCCACAGAAAAAGGAAAGTCATACAGGAAGTTATACATGGTAAACTATCCCTTCAAAAACCTGTCATGCCAGATTTGATATCAAACATCCATCTTTTTTGACTGTTTCGTCATTAATGTCAAACATGATGTGACATGTTTTTTGCATCATATCTGGATGTATAAGAATGACATTTGAGGACTGTGTTTTAATTTTGATCTAATTCTTACACGAAAGCAATAATATTGCTCTAGAAGACTTATAGAATGTATGTGTCATGAAGCCTAACTGATTAGTTTATGTGCTTTTTGAAGCTTGAAATCAATTTTATTTTCATTGCATTCCAAAGAGCTAGATTTCTCTTTATGTTTTAACAGAATAAAGTCACATTGGTTTGAAACAGCATGAGGGTGAGTAAATGATGACAGAATTTTCATTGTTTGGTAAATTATTTCTTGAACTGGGCATCGATCATCATGTTGCTCTGACATCTCACTTACATGTGATACACTGACTCTCATACACTGCTCTAGTTTTTTATTAGGGCTTTTTACAGTGCCTTGCGAAAGTATTCATACCCCTTCATTTTTTTCACGTTTTATGTTGCTGCCTTATGTTAAACTGCTTTAAATGACTTCTTTTCCCACATCAATCTACACTCCATACACCATATTGACAAAGCAAAAACAGAAATGTCACAACTTCGTAAATTTATTAAAAAAAAAAAAAAACTGAAATAAGTACATTGCATAAGTATTCATACCCTTAACTAAACATTTAAACTAAATATTTCGCTGAAGCACCTTTACAGTCTCAAGTCTTTTTTGTTTAATGCAACAAGCTTTGATCATCATCATTTGGCAATTATCTGCCATTCTTCCCCTCACCTGTTCACCACTCAAGCTCTGTCAGGTTGGATGGGGGCAGATGCACATTTTCAGGTTTCTCCAGAAATATTTGATTGGGTTCAATCCCAGGCTGTGGCTGGGCCACTCAAGGACATTCACAGACTGTTATCTATGATCGACTCTTGCTGTGTGCTTAGGGTCATTGTCCTGTTGGAAGGTGAACCTTCTGCCCAGTCTGAGGTTCTGAATGCTCTGGACTAGGTTTTCATTAAGGCTAATCTCAATATTTTGGTGCATTGAGCTTGTCTTCTATTCTGAAAGGGTAACAGACACTACATGCTTCTGTGAACCTTCAATGAAGCAGATTTTTTTTCTGAACTCTTCTCCAAATGTGTGGCTTGATGCAAACCTGTTTCTGAGCTCTACAGGCAGTTCTTTTGACCTCAGGGCTTGGTATTTGCTCTGATATGCATTATCAGCTGTTAGACCTTTTATTAAGACGTGTATGCCTTTCCAAACCATACCCATTCAATTGAATTTGCCACAGGTTAACTTCACTCGAGTGTAATAACATCTACAAGCAATACGAATGCTCCTGAGCTAAATTTAAACCGTTCCAGATAAGGGTATGAATACTTATGCAATGGGACCATTTAAGTTTTTAAATTGTAATAAATTTGCAAAGATGTTAAAAACCTGTTTTTTTGCTTTACCATTATAGTGTATGGAGTGTATACTGATGTGGGAAAAAAAGTCATTTAAAGCAGTTAAAGATAAGGCACCAACATAACAAAACGTGAAAAAAATGAAGGGGCATGAATACATTAGTAAGGCACTGTATAAGTGCACTGACTATATAGGGCGCTTAAGTCCTTATTTTAGTACACAGGACACATGGTTAATACTGACGGATATCTGCTCTAATGAAACCCAGGGTTTCCAAGGAATGTTACTCAACAGAGTCAAATGAGAGAACAGGCCTCATTTACCTCAGCTGACTTGCTAGGATAGCATGTGTCTAACATGTGTCTCATTAGGGAATGTAGACTTATGACCGTTATATTGCTCAAGAAGAGTATAAAGATGTACAGTAGTCTTCAAAAACACGTAACATGCAGAAGTTATAATAGAAGGCTTGACTATGACAGTTATGTAATCATTTACTCACCCTCATGTTGTTCCAAACCTGTATGACTTTTGTGGAACCCAAAAGGAGAAGTTTTTAGCAGAATCTTTTTTCCATGCAATAAAAGGGGATTGACAGTGGCAAGCTATACAAATATTAAACAAAGTCCATAAAAGTACCACAAAAACCCAAGCCTTAAGAACCTAAATCTTCAATCTAGCTTTCAAATGACAAAAGGGAGTGATTAAAAGAAAATTAAAAATGTCTGTGGATTTATACTGAACAATATTTCACTATATATGTAATGAAATACACAAAAGACAATTAAAAGACAAAAAAGATATTTCCACTCCACTGACACTAGAGGGAGAGCAAAACCTGAACTGAATTGAGCTTGATAACGGCACTATTTTTTTCCTATTGCTGAATCAAATTTGTTTAGGAATTGACAAACTTTTCACTGTTATTGAACTCTGAACGTTGAGACATTGACAGTTATTGAACTGAAATAAATCAACATTGAACTGTCTTGAGCTAAATAATTGCCTTCTGTAGAGCTGACTTTAACTCATTTCATAATTGATAAACTTTGCACTGTTATTGAACTGAACTAAATGAATTTTGATCTGACTTGATCAGCTCTACTAACTACAGAGCTGCTTTATAACTGAATTGAGTTTGCTTCATAACTGATACATTTTGCAACATTGTTATTGAGCTAAATTGAATCAACATTAAACTAATTGAGATGGTATTATCTTCTGTAGAGCTAGCTGCCTTAGAGCCGAAATTGGATTTAATTTGGCAACATTTCTGTTATATTCCTGTTTATTCATGTGAAGCTGCTTTGACAATCTGTATTGTATAAAGTAAATGTGACTTGACTTATACTAAACAACAACATTTTTCCCTTGTTTCCTATACTGTTTTTTTTCCACAGGCCGATTGCTGTTTGCAGGATATAATGACTACACCATTAACGTCTGGGATGTCCTGAAAGGTACCAGAGTGGCAATTCTCTTTGGCCACGAAAATCGGGTCAGCACCATCAGAGTGTCCCCTGATGGGACCGCGTTCTGCTCAGGATCATGGGACAGCACTTTGCGGGTGAGTGTCCGCTTCAGGTTCTCTGGGGAAAGTGACTTACGTAATATACTGTATAGCATGGTTTTGCTCTTTACTGGCATCAGGGACTATAGATGGTAGGGACAGGCAGCGGTTATAGGTGTTTTACACCATCCTGTGATGTCTGTCCCTTGAGAGCAGTAGGGGAATTACGCAACATAGGTTATAGTTTCCCCGTGGTCTTTTCTGTCTAAACTTCATAAGGTGTAAAGAATAGAAACTTCTTTGTTCCTCTTTTGTGAATTATCATACGCTGTGGTGATCATCTTGGTTTGAACTGAACTATTTTATCTCATTTCTTTGTTGCAGATCTGGGCTTGAAGAGTTCTTCTGCACCAGTGTGAGAAGATATTTGTACTTTGGCTTCTCAGTATCACAGCACACACTGGGACTTATCTAGAGATTCTGACTTTTTTATTATCTTAGCACAATTCTCTTTTCCTTGGCTTCTCACCAATATATATATA